TGGGGAACAGACAAAGGGGAGGGATGGGGGGATGATGCGTTGAAGAGGAGGAGGAAGAGGCCAATGGGAGGAGATTGAAAAGTTATAGCTGGAATCATTTCTGTTGAGTAGAGGTGGAGGGAAAGGAGAGCGGGGGGGGGGGGGGGGGGTGTCAGAAAGCAGGGAATGGACATTCAGTGAACTTTTCTAATATTGCACAATCTCCCCTTTTCTTTGCCCTTTTGATTACCCATTGCTTAATCAGTGTGTTGTGGGGCAGCTGGAAGCGTTTGAACAGAGAACTCTGTGTTAAAAATTAAGAGTACCTTTGGGAATACGGTCCCTGATTCCCATAAACCCCAGAAATGCTGCTGCACAATGGCCAAGTTTCCTTAGTGGAAATCAGATCTGTCTCTCTCCCTCAGTTTCTTCTCCTCTTCTTTTCTCACTTTTTTTTTACCTTTCTTCTGTCCATCTGCATTTTTTCTTTTATCCGTTTTCCACTTTTACTCCAACCCCAAAATATTTTAAAGTGTTTCATTTCCCTACCTTTTCTAGCCAGGCTCTTAAGAAAAATGTTTCATGGAGGGCTCGTCTGGAATTACAGTGAGATTTAATTGTCAAGGGCTGGTATTTCCTTCACTGTGCACACTTTTCATTCACCTTCATGGCAAGGAATCTGCCTTGTCATTTCCTCCCTCTCAAGCGTGTTGGAAATCGATCCTCCGGGTTCCCCTAAATCATCAAAGTGACCTTGTCACCCTAAGAAAACATACCACCATATTAGACCTCCAGCGTTGCTGAGCGCTGCATGACCACGGACTCCTGCAGCACGACTTTAGCCCTACATCTGAGGTGTTTGTGTACTTGTGTGGGTCTGTGTGTGTGTGTGTGTGTGTGTGTGTGTGTGTGTGTATATTTCTGTGGAGAGCAGAGCTTGTGGCAGCTGTGAAAATACATATCCTGTGGTTGGTGAAGCCCTCCTCCCCGCTCTTTCTCTAACTCTCTCCAGTCATGCAGACATACCGTTTTTTTCCCCAAGGTTGAGAATAATATTTATCATAATCTTTCAATATTTAAAGGTACAGTACCTATAGTGGTACTACAGTAAGTGCTGCAAGGAGTATTCAGATGCTTTGTTTTCCCTGAAGCGGTACAAACACGAAAATACTCAGTTACAAGGACATTTTTTCATCTTCAAAATGCAAGCTAAAGCAGCTATGATTCTTATTTTTATATTAAAGGTCCCATGTCATGGCCATTTCTACTGATCATAATTCCATTGTTGAGGTCTACTAGAATAGATTTACATTGTTCAATGTTCCAAAATCACATTGGTTTCTCATATTGCATCTCTGTATAGTATGTGTATTCACTCTCTGTCCTAAACGGCTTGTTGGAGCTCCTGCCCCCCCCCCCCCCTCCCTATGAGCCCACTGTGCTCTGATGTGTATTTATGTGTTTCAATGGCGTTTGTTAGCAACCAGAAAATGACACCAGTAATGACAAACAGATGAGAATGCTGCGTGGGGTCTGGGTGCCGTGTTTGCGGGACGTTGCGGGGCTCGCTGCCCCACCCTTTGAGGCTCGAGGAGCGGACAGTGTGAGCTGGATTACTGGTGTCGTTTCCTGGTTGCTGCGTGGGGTCTGGGGAGACACTGTGGAACTCAGCCTGAACACACACAAACGTGAGTGTGTGGCGAACTGTGAGTGGAGATCCACGGAGCTGCGGCTGAGAAAAGATGTGTGTGTGTGTGTGTGTGTGTGTGTGTGTGTGTGTGTGTGTGTACATCACCATACTCGGGACAAAAAAAATGGAAAAAGAGAAATCTCCAACGAGGCAGCATAGACAGGTCTTTTCTGTGTTAGAGTTTTACTCGCTACAGGGTGTACTTTGAGGGTTTGTGACTCTGCAGACCGTTTAAAAGCTACATAACACACAACCGGAAAAGCATGACATGGGACCTTTAACAATCACTTGAGTGTCAAAAAGGAACAAACGGATATATTTTTTTCAGACTCTTATGTGCTTTAGCTTCTTCCAGCTCATTGTTCTGGTTTTCCGGCCTCAAATTTACTTTTTTTTTTTTAACTCTATATCAGCTGTAACAAAAACCACTTATCAACTAAAAAGGAAAAAAAACAATCATTGCAGGTTTTATTATCAAAAGTTGACCCATGTCACTGTTGTGTTATTATAAAGGTGGATCATTATTACTCATGCATTGTGTTAGCATCATTTTAATTCTCCTTTACTTTAACAATGGCTTTCTTTCTCTGATCCCGGCCTGGACTCAGTTAGACTGAGCTGGTGTTTGAGGGGAGGAAGGAAGAGGAGGGAGTGAGGGAACTAGGGAGAGTCGTATTTTAGTGTCTAATGTTATTCTTTTTCACAATTTCTCTGCTCTCTCAGAGCCTCCCTATGTGGTCCTGCACCACATTCAGGACAGTTTGGATAAATGTTCCATTAAATGAGGGTGTGGTGCCAGTGCACGCGTCTAGGTGTTTGATTTACATCCTCGGGTGGGACACTTGTCTACCCCCTGAGCTGAGCTTCAGGAAAATAAACTCAGCGGAAACCGCACGTCTGCCAACATCACGCCCCTCGTAGCAACAAGCAGCCTGTCTCATGTTCTGTTTGTCTGAGGGGCTTCGAATGACAGACACATTACCTAGACACTTGCTAATTGGAGTTGGCTTACATCTCAGTCGAGAAAACTGCACCGTGTCTAAACCGGAAAATCTGTACTTGAGTGTTGCAGAAAGAAAGAGGGAGCTGAAGAGCTAGCTGCCATACAGAATTGCTAACTAATGTACTTAATCACATGACGATGAGTCAAACATCTTACCCATCAGTAAAAGTATGTACAAAAACATCAAACGCTCAAGATCTACCTGACAAAATGAATTCAAAACCACTGTGTTAGCCTCCCCCCTGCACCTCTTGTATCTTACCCCCTCCTCACCCCTTGGCTCTTTCTTCTCTACAGATGTGGAGCAGATGGCCATCGACTGGCTCACCGGAAACTTCTACTTTGTTGATGACGTGGACGACAGGATCTTCGTGTGTGACAAGGATGGGCAGACATGTGTCACCCTCCTGGACCAGGAGCTTTACAACCCCAAAGGCATCGCCCTGGACCCCACCATGGGGTTAGTTTGATATCTTGCTTTTTGCCTAAATGCATAAACACACTGCATGGAACTGGAGTCAGATGCGGTCATGTGTTGCTGTTACCCAACTTTAAAAAAGTAGAAATGGGAAAGAGGGGGGCTAGTAATTGAGTGCAGATGTTCTGTTTCACTGTGGTACAATGAGTGCAAAGGTTTTGAATGTAAAAGCATGTTTTTGTTACAGCTCTTTTGTTTATGGCCAAACCTTCCAGCTGAATTCCTGAAAGTGTGTGTATATCTGTGGTGCATGCTTGTGTGAGTGTCTGAGAGCTTGTGTGTTTGAAAAAATGAATAGCACTATTGTGAGAATGTTTGTGTGTATACATACTTCTAGCCATCAGTATCTTTTTCGCCCCACGCAATTTCCTCTGCCGTAATTGGGTTTTCGAGTAACAAGGTCATGGAGATTCACTGTAGCTGCTTTTTTTGTTTTTGTTATGGTCTGCAGAGTCATTTGGGGAGGGGGGGAACTAAACCCAGACTGTTATACATAACTATATTATAAGCTATATTTAGCCACAAAAAAGTGAAAATTAACAAAAAACTGCATAATTATATTTCCTTCATCTTCCAGGTGCTGGTTGTTGTTTTTGCTGTTACTCTACTAGGACAGGATATTGAGCTTTTTGTTGTTGTTTGCTAACACATTTACAGGGACAGTGAGCATTAACTTTAGACAAGTCACTTGTTTTGCTTTTACTTTAATAACTAAAGATTCAACAAATGTTTTATGTTTGGTTCTACAGTGGAAATGTGTCCCTTCTTAATGTTGCCAGCCTATTCAATTACAATTATTCAGAGGTTTTCTACAACCTAAAGTGCAAAACTTTAGTATAAAGAGTTTATATCTGGTATTAATTAAAAAAATGACTTGAACAATTCATCTTGCCTGCTGCAAACCATTACGGATGCTTCCTACCTTTCCCTTTTCACCATTCTAAAACTAGATTATTATTGTCTCCCTGTAATGAATATAAAGGTAGTCAATTAAATATAACAAAGCCAGATAGGCGTAAAATGAAAAGAAAATTCAGATACAGTCGATCTATTTATCCATCTGTTCTAAATCAAGTGTGATCCTTTGTTTCCACAGGAAGGTGTTCTTCACAGACTACGGTCAGATCCCTAAGGTGGAGCGCTGCGACATGGATGGCCAGAACCGAACAAAGCTGGTGGACAGTAAGATAGTTTTCCCCCACGGCATCACGCTGGATCTGGTCAGCAGGCTGGTGTACTGGGCTGATGCCTACCTGGATTACATTGAAGTGGTGGACTATGAAGGCAAGAACCGGCACACCATCATCCAAGGCCTGCTGGTGAGAAAAGCTGCACACCCCTCCCCCCCACGCTCTAATTATCATCAATTAACAGGAAGATAATCTCTTAAATTAGCTGTCAATGGATGCAATTCAAAATAACTTAAGTGTGCTTTAGAGTTCCCTCTATATCTATAATGCCCCTTATGTTTCTCCTGTGTACTCCTGTAATGTTTTCTCGCCCAGTGAGTTACGGGCAGAGAGAAGACGGTAGACATTTGCCTTTTTATTAAAGCAGCTGATTAATAGTGTTTAATGCTCAGGCTGTTGATGTAGCAGCACTGATGAAGCACAGCGCCTCTTAAACCTGTTACCATGGCTTTTACCGTGATATGTGGAGAAGTAATGGCTTTTCATCTACTCACTGAGCCTAAGGGCAAAGACAAACTCACATGCACACGCACACACACACACACATACACATACACACACTCACATAACTACCATATCTTGCTCTGTGTGTATTTGCCCCTTCGATAGGTCATTAGTACATGCACATCCTTCAGACAAAAGTTAGAGTGTTATTGATGGTGTTGCATTTCGCCTGTTTTATCAAGAGTGTGTCTGTTTGTTGCGGCCTGACATGCTCTGTTAAGGTGCATAGGAAACCTTTTAAAAGGGGACCTATCATGCAAAATGCACTTTTCGATGTCTTTTATACATAAATATGTGTCCCCGTAAGCCGTAGGGGAACTCACAAAGTGTCAGAAAACAAAACCCTCTCTCTTTTCCTCCGTACCCAAATCTCTAAAAACAGGGGTACAACGGAGCTGATCCAGATTCGCGTCCGATATGACTTAATATCCGAAATGTGAACCCACGGCACTATCAGAAACGTTGCTATCAGAAACAATGCCCGACGTGTTTTGGACGTAATATGGTCTTTGTTTACATTAGCAAGCATCGCTAACACTCAGAGCTAACCTGTACTGGAGAGAGCATGTGTAAAGAAGCAGGAAATAAAAAAAGGAACTCTCCTTGTGGTAAACCCGCAAGAGAAAAAGCATTTGAGCTCCAGACTGTTTCAGAAATAGTCCTTGATGTGGTTTGGAACATGATATGGCGTTTAATCACGGCAGCATTTAGCTGTATCTCGTAGAATTCTGAGCAGGCATTAGCTCCCCCTCCTCTATTTTTTTTTTTTTCAAGCTAAGGACCCAGAACCTGCAGTTCTCTAACAGGGCTGAAATAGAGGGATATGAGGGATATCTAAAATGCATGATCTGTTTGGTATTTTGAGCAAAACATATCATAGACATGTTTTTTTTGTAATAATAATTGTTCTCATTACAAGCATTGGTCTGGTTTGTCTTGACTGGATATGTGAGTAAAGGTGACGCAGTAAACAATCCTGTTTTCTTACAGTCTGATGCTAACTGTTTCCCATCAGCAGAGCCTTTCAGCCTACAATAACAACAATTTTTGTCTTTCTCACCCTCTATGGCCCAGTTCGCTCCACACACAAAACAAGATAGACCACAAGTCCATCTCAGGTTTTATGCTGCTGGCGCAGCCTGTTGCGACATTGGGTCAACGGGTTCTGTCTGTTGTGAGCTGTGGAAGCTTTTCTGGTTCCTCTCACTCACTGCTGCTAAACACTTTATCCTTTTTTTAATACCACAGGGAAAATTATAGTTTCTGAACCAAAGGCAGGCAGGTGGCTGTTAGAAATGTGTATCATAACACCTCAAAAAGATCCCTCTACATCACATATAGACTAAAACTAACCATGGAAACAACACCTCTTCTTCATGCTACATTACCAGTTAACACTCACTTGTAAACTAACCAAGGGAAAAATTACTGAAACAAATCTTTAAAACATAGAGGATAATTAAAAATAAAAAGAGCCCATCTTGTTTGTGTGCCATGGTAGAAGCACAATAATAGACTCTGTGGTTTCCAAATATAGAAATTAATGGATTCACACAAGTAAAATGAGACTGACTACACTTTGAATTGTGATAATTATTTTTCATGTATTGGGGCACATCATCATGTATTATTGCTTGCGTACAGGGAAATAGTGAAAGAATCTTTGGCAGACTTAACTTTTGTCTAGAGTGTTGGCTAAACCCAAAAAAATATATTTATTATAATCGAAGCATGTCAAACTCTTATATACAACATAGCTATCTTATTGTCTTCAAGGGTAGCTGTGACTGTGTGAAAGTTAGTAAAAGTTCATTTTAGGGAAAAGTTATGGAATAAATCAGTTAGAAAAATCTAATACAATTTTTTGGACTGACTTTAATATCCTCTACCTCTCTTTTACTCTCTCCCTTACCATCCCTTCCTTAAGATCGAGCACCTGTATGGGCTGACTGTGTTTGAGAACTACCTGTATGCCACCAACTCAGACACTGCTAACATGCAGCCTAAGACCAGTGTGATCAGAGTGAACCGCTTCAACAGCACAGACTACCAAGTAGTGACCAGAGTGGACAAGGGAGGGGCGCTGCACGTCTACCACCAGAGACGCCAGCCTCCAGGTACACCACACACACACACACACAATCATACATTTTAATATCTTGTGCAATTCTGAGTACTTTATAACGCTTCTGGATTTCTGACTTTATCTTTGATCTCCTTTGTGTCCAGTACGTAGCCATGCATGTGAGGTGGACCAGTTTGGGAAGGCGGGAGGCTGCTCGGACATCTGTCTGCTGGGGAACGGCCACAAGAACCGAACCTGCCGCTGTCGCTCCGGATTCAGCCTGGGCAGTGATGGGAAGTCCTGCAAAAGTGAGTTGGACTAACAGTGTGATTAAATAATTAATAATTTTGATTTGGGCTTGTGTTACAGAGGGTCGAAACCTTTGAGAAAGGATTAGAAGTAGCTAAAGTTATTTGAAAAAAGTAAAAAATGAATTATTTTTTGTAAAACATATTTTGATATTAATTGAGTAGTCTGTTACACAACTGAAATATAAATAGTAAGCTAAAATGGCGCTAATGGCAAAACTGTTCCACTAGTTGGCTAAAAGTAGTGCTGTAGCGACGCGTCGACGATGTCGACTTCAAAATATCGTCGACGACATATTTCCGCGTCGACGCGTCGCTACACACACGTGGGTCACCCAAAGCAACAAGCAGTTCGCAATCGCACTTCAAACACAATGGAGACTGAAACGGCTACCACCTCCTCCTCACAGGATTGCGCACGAAGCCCCCAAACGAAAACATCTCGCCCTAGGTCTTCAAAAGCATGGGAATATTTTAAAGTTAGTCCAAAACGCAAAGATATTTATATATTTATATCTCACTGAGACTGCTGCATAGCCTAGCAGAAGCAGCAGCTAGCTGTGGCGGCTACCATTAGCAGCTAGCATTTGCTCTCCGATTTTTACATAAAATGGAATTATGGATTATAAATTCAATCATTTTTGTATACATAGACGTTAAAAACCTATGGATTAACCGATTCAGCCGCGTTTTTTCTCATTTTAATGCCATTGAACACGTCTTTTGATCAGATTACGGTGGTGAGACGATCTCCCGAGAAGCTCTGTGAAGGTACGTGTTGTGATGACTGTATTTGCTTCCCCTGTCGCGAGTCCGGATCACTCAGTGATGATACTATATACCTACATAATCTGTGGAGTCTCAGCTTTAATCGGATATCTTGTATGTGCAGCTACGATAAGTAATAAGGGTACTTTTATCTTGAGTTCTGTGCCAATGTCCGTTAGCATTTTTCGCTCAGGGGTCATTTAGATGCTTCTTATGAGACTTGTGTTTTGTTTTGGTAAACATGGTTTGTATCGTCAGTTAGCTGAGATTATTTCCGTTAATCTGGTATAACACATTAATAGGTTCTTAAATATTAAGATCCCCTGAGACACAGTATCGTGAAAAAAAAAATGTTTACATTACGTTTTTTATGAATTGAACAACAGAAAAATAATCGTTAGATTAGTCGACTAATCGATCAAATAATCGCCCGATTAATCGTTTTCAAAATAATCGTTTCCCCCCAGCACTAGCTAAAAGTAAGCAGATATACTAGCCGTGTCTCAATTCAGGGGCTGCACCCGTTGTTAATTGGTGTCCCAATTTTAAAAAAAGACGAGTCCTCCGAATGCGGCCCACGAATGCAGCCTACTTTTCCCCAATTTGAAGGATACATCTGATGTACACTCCGCGGCCTAGCATATCCCAGGGTGAAATGGCGATCCGGTCTCCCCAGCAGAGTGGATTTAAAAGCAGCAGCAAGCGGAAGAATCACTAATAAATGTGAGTATTGGGTTTTAACTTACTTTAAATTAACTAACGTCACACACGTCAAACCCAAGTGGCATTAAAACGTACATTTTCGTTAAATAATACGGTTAAATACGTGACGTTAGTGACGCTAACTAGCTAGCTGGACGTACTGCACTGTTGTTTACACTTGTTTTTAATTCAATTCAGAAGTTTACTAAAGTCATACAGAGATCTTGGCTCTGTTATAGATACGTTATACTTTATATTACATAAATAGACCAAAGTGAAAACATTTAGACCGGTATAGCCTACAGTACGGTGGGATTTATAAAAGGCTACCCTGACGTGTAGCTGCTGTTTGCTTTATTTATTTCTCTGACATGTTGCAATGTTTTACTGTTTATTAAACTTTGGGACAACATTACAACCTTTATATTCAGCTCATGCTGCTTTGAGGTAGGGCTAAAAAGGAGCCTATTTTAAATATTTCCACCAGATTTCTTTTATTTAGGTTAAAGTTTATTTAATTTATCCTAATCCCATAATAATAACACAATCAAAAATAGACAGCAGCCTTTAGCTTGATGTTAGTTTGTGCTGTCAAAGGGATGCAAGCTGTGACTGTCACTTCATCTCTTTAGTTTTTTAAAAACCTAAACAGTACATCATTTTTAAATGATCCTTTAAGGATTGTTTGTCTGAAATGCTTAGAGTTACATGTTGCAATAATAGTTTTGCAACCCTGTGTTTAATATGATTAATTCACTTTTTTATTTTTCTCTTGTTTTTCTCTGTAATTAGGAACATTCTGGAGAAATGGATCTGCTAAGGACCCCTAATCTGAAAAGTGCACAGCCATCCACCTGGACCCCCGTGGTGCATCAGGAACATCCTCCACCCAGACCTCTGCTTACTGCCATCCTACAGACTTGTGTCTTAGTTTCAGAATTTGATTTTGCATGTGTCCTTTCTTTTAATAGACGATTATAGCTTGAGTCTGTCTGATTCCCCAAACAGCTGCTTCTACTTGCTGCACATATAATACAAATAAACAACTCAATAAACACACTTCTGCTGATATTTGTGTTGCTGCTGGTGATGTTAAAGTACATGACTGATTTCCTCTGTCTCAATGATGAAAGCTATAATAATAGAAGACATGAAGCTGCAGAGAGAGGATGGATATATTCTTACCTCTACTTTGTGATAAGATGAAAATACAAAATTAAATTAAAATAGTAATTGTTAAACATATTGTTTATTTCATTTACTGAGGTTTTAACCATTATTTACAACATGTGTACATAAGCAGTGGAATAATAGGATATCTCTAGGTCATTAAACTGTCTTCAGTTTAATTTGATTAATACAAAAAATAGGTCATAGAAAATGTTTAATTGTGTATTTCAGCAGAGCGGGGGGTCACGTTGCTGCTGGACCTGGAGGTGCTGACCTGGTGTCAGTGGGAATCATCTGGGCTGGTTTAGGGGAACAGCTATTAAGATTAGAACACTAATATTGTTAAGAATCAATCTATATACAACATGCTGTTGTTCACTTAAAAAAACATATTGTTTTATTAGTGTAACGTCCGAGGTGTTAAGGCTTCAAAGATACTTTTGTGTAACAAGAACTCAGGAACTTTAGTAATTTTTTATTCGTTTATTATTGTCGAGTCACACACACGCTCTCCTTCACAACTTCAGGACAGACTGCGCATGCTCAAAACCAGTGGCGAGCCGTGACTTTTATACCTAGGCCCTCTGACCCCCCTTCCCTCGAAAGAAAAGAAGAGATATTACGTCACAGCGTATACTTCATCGGAATATCAAAACAGCGGCCCGGGGTGCAAAACGCATCAATGACAGCGACCCTCTACCACACAAAACAACACCATTTATATAAACACCTATCATGACAGGGCACCCACAGCCAAGTAACAATTAAAAATGAATTATGTCGGCACGGCGGCCCACATTGAAAATGACTTAGGCCTACCTATGATGATCAAATCACTGAAACACAAAGTCCATCCTCCTGTCCTTTTGGATGAAGCACTTGATGGCGGGTCATTCAGCTGATCCTTTGCCACTCCAGTTTATCATTGTAACTCAATCTTGAAAATGACTCGGATAATAATTTCGCAACGATGTCATCACTATCAATGAGCCATCATGAACGAACTTATGCTAATCATAAATCTATCGATCATAAATATATCGATTAGATTTATGATTCGAAAATAATAAAAGTAGGGTAGACATGTGGATATTATCCGGCTGAACAAAACGTGCATTTATCTAACAGGTTCGTTTTCCACAGACCTTATTTCGAGCTATTTTCCAAAACCCTCTGGAGAAATCCCAATGCTTTCTGTCGAGGGAATCCGAGCGAAGCTTACTTCCGGGTTATAGGACGCGTCACTGCACCACTTGCATAGACCTGCGGGCGGACATGTCATAAAGTCCGCGAAAATAAAGCCCGCCCATTTAGAGGGAAGATATGATTGGTCAATTGTACTGTCATTTGACATTACTCTCTCATTGAGTTAGCTGGCCCTCTGTGAATGTAGAGAGGGACCAACAAGCTCTCCCGTCTTCACATAACTCGCAGAGACGGCATTTAACCCTTCACATTCCAACAGAAACTGAACAGGCAGATTCGAAGGATTTATTTCTTTGGAAATATTATTTTAAATACAATTAAATCAAGTTATTTTGGTAAAACTAATGAAAAATGTAACAACAAAAACATATTTAAAAAAAATATTTTATAAAAAATGTTTGTTTTTTTAATGTTTTCAAATATTATTTTTTAGAATATCTTAGGCCCTCACAGAAAAAAAACAATACAACAACGAAAAACCCCAAAAACTTAACAATTACATAATACCCTGCAGAACAATACATGTACGCATGATGTACATTTAAAAAAAAAAAAAAAAAATCTTTGAATAAAAACAATGACAAACAAAACACATCCACAGCTCAAATAAGACATCAAACTTGGTATGACATAACCTATTCCCCTGTCCTGCACCCTTGAAACATGAACAAAAAACACAATTATGCAGCATAGAATACACAGGAGAAAAGAAGCACACAAGCATGTAAACACCAGTCATTCAGCCCATAACAAAGTCCATAAAGCAGACAGGAGGCCGCGCTAACCTCCCAGCCCGGGACACCGTCGGTGCGGCTTGTTCGAGCTCAGGGGAATCACCAGCCCCAGAACCCGGCCCAAGATCACACTTTCCCCATCGGAAAATCTCAAGCGTCCAGAGCTCTGTGGGGAGACTGCATCCTGCAACGGAAGAGGCTGAGAAAGGTTTAAGAAAGACCTTGATGGTCCCCCCAAGGGAAAGGCTACCGGCAGGTTGTATCGCCGTAGCCTGTCATAATGGACAGTTTGGAGAGAGGCTTCATCCCCAAACGGGCTACTTAGTTGGTACGTGACCCCCACTTCATCACCCCTATCCATTCGCCTCTGCACCAGATAAGGCCCCTTCCAGTGGGGAGCCAGTTTACGGCGGCTCTCAGTGGGATCATTTAACCACACCAAATCCCCGACTTCATACGGGACGTGCCTCACTCTGGCGTCATAGTACGACTTCTGCTTGCAGCAAAATTGTTATCCCTTGTTTGATCAAACGCCACGTCCAAGCGTCTGAGAAGGGAACCAGCAAAGTCTTCCCGGGGACCCTGCTCCAGATCATCCCGCTTTTAACCCAGTAAAACATCTACAGGAGTCCTGGCCTCCCTGCCATGCGTGAGAAAATATGGCGTGAAGCCTGTGCTGGAATGTACACTGGTATTGTACGCAAACGCGACCTCAGGAACTTTAGTACTTTTTGGAGCGTCACAGACAGCGACTCCGTTTATTATTGTAGAGACACACAAGCTCTCCTTCACAACTTCAGGACATGCTCAAAACACATGACCTCTCAACCCAATGCTTACATTAGTACAGAAAAATTAAGACTTATTTTAAATATGAAATAATATGATTAAATTACATCAGCTATATATAATGTACTTGTTTACTTACTAATGTAACATTACTGGGGGCTAAAGGAACAGTTTAATCTTATTTACCTGACCATGGTCCTCTGCTCGGTCCAGCCTATACCTGGTCTACGTGGGCTGGGTCCTCCGTGGACCGCGTAGGCTGGGTCCTCCAAAGAATGTAGCCCCTGAATTGAGACACGACCAGTTGCCTAAAATAAGCCTTATGGATCAATTATAACAATGACAACTAAAAGTGATGGCTAGTCAGTTGCAGTGGCGGCTGGTGGAAAATATTTTTGGTGGGGCTTTTGATATAGTGAGTAAAAAAATTTTTTTTGGGAGAAATGACCCCTTAAATTAGGACTTCTGGTGATGTAATGGCGCGTTTCCAGTGCAGCGCGGAGCTCGCTTTAATGCTGCGTTCAGACCGGACGCGATGCGAATATTCGCTTCGCTCTAAACGCTCCTATCGCATCGCTCTAGTCGCTCGAGTTTTACCGCGGCTGCCAGCTGTGTTTACTCGCATCATTCAAACAAGACGCGCTGGCTCGGGAGCTACAACTACAACAAAATGAACATATTTTACCGTGATTAAATTGTAATACACGTTTCTAAATGATGCCGACGTAACAACATACTGATACTGGTTAGTAGAAACCATGAATTAATGCTTTGACAAGTCTGCAGACAGACGAAAAACCTTTTAGAATACTTGTTTTCTGAATGGAGCCTGGCTAAGCTAAAGTTATATATGTTCCGACCGTCCACACTCACAACAACGGCCTATACAGACATACATAAACCAGCGACTGTATTCTCCATGACACAGGCAGTCTGTGGTTTGTACTTGTTTAACTTTTGTCTAGTTTCTGAACAGATCGTATCTGTCCCCGGCTGTTTGAAGAGCAAGCATGGGAAACAAAAGATAGCATTTACCTGTTTGTATCCAGCTAGCCTCGTTGATACGTTTTGTCTTTTTCACGAGCTTGCTGTGATATATACAAATCGGGTTGGTCCGGTCCAAGGTCTTTAAGTATCAATTTATCTCCCAAACTTCTCCTTTGGAAAGGATTGGAGAGTAGCTCTTGCACGGAATTGGGTGCGGACCGAGGTCCGGCGACTCCACCTGCACACCATTCTAAATACTGCGTCACCTTGGTCACTCACGAGTCTAAAAAACAACTCACGTCACGTAAGCAACGTGGGTGCCAACGTGAGCGCCCTCGTGACCAAAATATTTGACGGCGCTGATTAGCTGAAATTATGTTTCGGCGGCACAGTTTACTATTGAGACTTTTGCAACGTGCTGGTTGCTGCTGTTTGGCTCGGGGGATCCGCCCGGTAATGATAAACTAATGCCATGGGCAAGGCCAGGCAGGAAACATGTGACTTATCGGTAACTTTAGACATCGTAACACAATTTTAAACGAGATTTTATTGTAGATTATACATTTTACTGATACCAATTGTATGATATTTACCTTGTTCATTACAAATAAAAATATAAAATATATATATTTTTTAAATATATATTTTTTGAATATTTTTTTTTTTATTTAATATTTTTTTGAATATTTTTTTTTTGAATGTGGGAAGAGGTGGGGCGGCGCCCCTAGCGCCCCTATGGGCCGGCCGCCACTGGTCAGTTGTTATAGTTGTCCTGATTTGAAAAACGTTTAAATAGTTCCTTGACATCCAGCTTATGCTACTCCAAGTAGGAGATTTAGCCTAAAACATTACCAAACAAACAGCAACATTGAATGTTCCGTATGCAAATGTTATTTTAAAAATATCTTCTTTTGTATAATTTTACGTATTAAATAATATCCAATTTCAATACATCTAAGCGAGAATTATTTGGACCTAATGGGTTTTGTCAATGAGGGGCTGCATACATTCAGTAGGGCTGTGGAGGCAAGTCTTATAAAAAAGGCTTGGGAGCCACTGCACTGAAGCACACTGCAGATTCAGCACAAACGTGTGCATGCTCCCAGCCTCACTGTAAGTATAAACTCTGGAGCTCAATAGACCTAAAGCCAAGGGCAGCCAAGGTTGGTTTAGGGATGCAGCTCTCCTCTGGGGTACAGACTGAGAGAGAGCTGTGAACAAAGTAGCTGAGCAGAACATAACTTAGGCTGTCTCTTAACTCTGCACTGACCTCCCCATGAAGCTGTTAGCCTGATTCAGCTTGTTCAGAGAAGTGTTTTAATATTCTGCCAGCCAATAATAGCATTATATTGATCCGCCTCCTCACAATACACTGTCCTTGAAAATGACACAATTCATTTAAGTAGAGGCAACTCCTCCTCTCTTCTCCCTGCTTCTCAATTGAAAATCACTTAATTTTAATTTAAGGCTTTTGCTGATCTTGTCTTTAATGAACTTGCTTAATCAATACACATTATTTGTAAAGGAAAAAGAGTCCTGAGTCAGCATGGTTTGCGTCTTTGTCAACAGAATTCTTTAGGTATTGAAAGGCTGAGAGGAGGTTAATGTTAACTGCCTCTGCTGAGTAGTGTACATTTACAGGTTGAAGCTACTTTTTCTTACCTTTGTTTTCTTGTTTTGCTGCAGAACCTGAGCATGAGCTCTTCCTGGTCTACGGCAAAGGTCGCCCAGGGGTCATCCGGGGCATGGACATGAATGCCAAGGTGCCAGACGAATACATGATCCCCATCGAGAATCTGATGAACCCGAGAGCTCTGGACTTCCACGCTCAGAGCGAGTTCATCTACTTTGCGGACGCCACCAGCTACATCATCGGGCGACAGAAAATTGATGGAACAGAAAGGGATACTATTGTGAAAGAAGGTACAGAAATGACGGTTCATTTGAGAACAGACTAAAATAAGGATTAATATGAGTTTCAAGTTGAGCAATGAAAGAACATTTGGTTTGTTTATGTGTTGAAATGTTGGTTGTAATGAATCTTTGGATCTAGTCAATTGCATTGATTCTCAAGGTTACGCTAGTTACAAATGCACAAACACATTCAAGGTAAAGGTATGGGTTTGGCCCATGTTAAGGCTTTTAAAGCAGGGCCACAGTACAAAGGTTTACAACAAGTGATAAACAACCATAGACTTTTTCACAAGCCTTCAATCTTTCAAACAAAAATATATTTAATTTATCTAGCCTTTATTTCTCCACATAATCCCATTGAAAAGAAATGGGTAGCTTTCCATTGTTTAAAAGTCTACAACAAGCTGTATGCATCAGCAGGCATTGAGGTTCAAATCTAAAAGCATAACACTATATATCTTGTGATTTACGCTTATAAAAATACATTTTTAGCCAATAATGTGTTATGTGTGTTGTTACAAAAGGCCTCTCACCAGCAGCACATGTTTGTTTCAGGAATCCACACCGTAGAGGGCATAGCTGTGGACTGGATGGCGGACAACCTGTACTGGACCGATGACGGGCCGAAGAAAACCATCAGTGTGGCTCGGCTGGAAAAGGCTTCACAGACACGCAAAACTCTCATTGAGGGGAAAATGACTCACCCTCGCGCCATTGTAGTTGATCCACTGCACGGGTAAGGAGAGAAAGAGATGGAGGGAGGAATTGAATTGTATTTTTGATCCAGAGAAAATGGATACATTTCCTGTAAAAATGAGAGTTGAGATGTCGAGGCACAGCAGAGGTTTAGGCAGCAGTTAAAATAACGCTGACTCTAAGCTGGCTGTTTAATGGATTATGATGCATGCATGTCGTGTGTGCTTCTTTGTGGTCAGGCAACATACGGTAAGAGATAATGATAGGAGGTCATTTGTTATGGTCAGCTGTCCAAAATAATTACAGATGGTCTATCACTCAGCAAACTCGTATCCAGAGGTGGAAGAAGTCTTCAGCTCTTGTACTTAAGTAAAAGTATTAGTGTGTAGGAAGGAATACTCTGTTACAAGTAAAAGTCCTGCAATCAAAAGGTTACTCAATTAAATGTAAAAAAGTATTAGCATCAAAATATACTTAAAGTACCAAACGTAAAAGTACTGATTTACCAAATGGACTCATTTCAGAATAATATATAATATATTTTGATTATAAGGATTGATGCATGAAAGTGTTCTCAAAGCTGGTAAAGGTGCAGCTAGTTTTAATTACTTTGTATACTGCAGGGTACCTTGTGTATTTACTCCAGGTGTAACTAAAGAATTATTCTAGTGTTGATTATATTTCACATCATTAATCCAAATCTGTAAAGTAACTAAAGGTATTCAATAAATGTAGTGGAGTTAAAGTACACTAGTTACCTCTGAATTGTAGTGGAGTTAAAGTACACGAGTTACCTCTGAATTGTAGTGGAGTTAAAGTACCAAGTAGCATAAAATGGAAATACTCAAGTAAAGAACAAGTACCTCAGAATGTTACTTAAAGTGGACCTATCATGCTATATTTGAAACATATATTGTAGGGCTATACCTATATAAAACATGTCTGTGAAGTTTTTTTTTCAAAATACCAAACAGATCATGCATTTTAGCCATGCCTCATTTTGCTCCATTTGCTCTTTTCCAGCCCTGTTTTTGCAAGGGCTGATTCTGCTTTTGTGGCAGACTACAGCGCCACTTACAGGCCTGGCATATGTAGCGTCTCCAGCGCTTTCGAGCAGTCTCTCATTCCCCTGATAGGTGGAGAGTTGCCCATATAGGCGGAGCACCCCTTTTCTGACGTCAGAAAAATTCAAATAATAATCAGTCCCGTTGCAGCTCCATTTTTAGAGATTTGGGTATGGAGGAAAAGAGAGAAGGTTATGTTTTCTGACACTTGGTGAGTTCCCTGACACACCGAGGACACATATTCATGTATAAAAGACGTACAAAAGTGCATTTTGCATGATAGGTCCCCTTTAAGTACAGTACTTGAGTAAATCTGCTTAGTTACTTCCCACCTCACTTATCCCTCATATATGAGCTGTTTAACGCTTCTAATAATCACTGCTTGCACCCATTTACCCTTCTTTCTTCAGTTCTTGTTTGTGTCTCTTCACATTTTCCAGCAGAGAGCATTTTTTCCTCTTCCTCTTCATCCCATCTGTTTTGTTGACCAATATCCCTCCACAAGACATATCGTCCCTAATGATTTCACTTATCACACGCTACTTAATAAGACAGATGGAGCATTTTGTGCATTACTTGGTAGATTTCCTCCACAAGCTTATTAACACACACCCAAATCTCTCTCGCACTTTTTCAAATAGCTCTTAATCTTGCTGTGGATGTTTCTTATTGCTATGACCTATTGGGCTCTCTCTTGAGAAGCACACACTCAAACAAACACACACAGTCTTTGGATTACTAGTGACAGGGTGATGTGTGTCCACACACTTCCCAGGGGAAAGGCACTCGCCTCAACTAATGCCTGTAATCAATCAGGCTCAGAGAGAGAGAAGGGAGGATAAGGAGACATTTGCAGAAAGGAAAGGACGGATACAGACAGAGAAGGAAATATGAAAACTTAATGCTAATGTCAGTCATATTTCAGCCAAGGGGGGGGTTGTGTTTACTTTAGCATGATGGGGTAGACAGCCAGCAGACTGGCTAAGCGTGGAGCACTAAAGGCAAGTGGCAGGTATTAAAGTACGTTGGAGGAAACTTTGTTTTCCTGTGGGCAGATATACTGCTAAACACTGCAGAAACACCTTTCTCACTGCTCTCATGAGTGTTGTGCGCTATAGGGCAGCTACATAAAATATCAATGACTCCATTATTGCCACAGATTTTCCAAGGAGCCCAACCAACTACAATGTTTTTTTCTGTTGTGCTATCACATTTGTGTTGGTACTTGTCCCACAAATGTTCCCTTGTTCTTTTTCAGGTGGATGTACTGGACGGACTGGGAGGAGGACCCTAAGGAGAGCAAGCGTGGGAAAATTGAGCGGGCTTGGATGGACGGCTCGAACCGAAACGTGTTCCTGACCAGCAAAACGGTGCTGTGGCCCAACGGCCTCAGCCTGGACATCCCGCAGGGCATCCTCTACTGGGTGGACGCCTACTACGACCGCATTGAGATGGTGTACCTCAACAGCACAGAGCGCAAGGTCAGCACACGCTCACCATCAACAGGATTATTTTATTGCAGTCTGGTTCACGGGAATGAAGGCAGGGGATTATTCTGACCGGGTATGACAATCGGTAAGCGAGCTATTAGGGAGTGAGTCTTAGAGCCATGGGAGACTGTGGGTGGTCCATCACAATGCAGCTCACAGTCCGAGGGCTTACTGGTCACTCCTTGTGGCTATATTGATGATATTTTGCTTCCAGTAGTCTGTGTGTTGGTTATATTTTGGTTTTATGGTGTTGTTTTTGGAATTCACATGTATAATATTATGGTTAACATCGAATGAATTACTTACATACTCTGAATACCACTGAAAATTGTATTTTAGGGCCACATAGCAGATTTTTTTTTTGACACCTTTATTTAAAGGTTTGTAGTATGATTAACTCAAATGTTAACTGGTAGGAATCAAAGAAGGTAAATCATATCACATATTGTCACAACAAATGAATAGAAGCTGTAATCCTGGACACAGCTTGCTGTTTTTTTAAAGCATTCTTTACTATCGTGTTGCTTTTCACATATTACCAGACGGTGTATGAAGGTCAGGAGCTGAACCACGCCTTTGGTCTTTGTCACTATAAACACTTCCTGTTCTGGAACGAGTATCGAAGTGGCAGCATTTTCAAGTTGGACACCACCACTGGCACGGCCACTCTGCTGCGAAACGAGAGGCCACCGATCTTTGAAATCCGCATGTTTGACGCCCAGCAGCAGCAAGGTAGCATCACAAATACAATATTCTTCTATCCATCCATGTTAATCCAGACACTATGATTGTCAAAATACACGATCACGCATAGTTAATGTTAATTTGTGTTCCCATAAAAAAAAAAAATTGTTTACCTGAAGGCTCCAATGCGTGTCGTGTAAACAACGGCGGCTGCAGCAGTCTGTGTCTCGCTACACCAGAAAACAGGCAGTGTGCCTGTGCAGAAGACCAGATACTAGAGCCAGCTGACAACACCAGCTGCAAGGGTAGGTCCACCAATGCTTTGTATCTGATGTGAGACTGAAGGATATTTGATAAAAAAACAAATGCAGACAACAACAGGAGCACTGGCATGACTTAATGCAGTCCAATATACACCCTTCATTATTATTTTTTAAATTTGCAACGTTTTCCTGGTATTTTGCCCATGCCAGAGTCGATTAAATACAAATCCAGTCCAATAACAAACCGAAAATAAAATAAACTGCTCCGACCCAGTCTTAATAAAACTCAAAGATTAAACATGCATTTAATGCTGCACTTGATATGTGACTGTTATTTGTCTGCCCCACTTTCTTCTTGTTTTTTTATTCCATCACCAGTCAGCTCAGCATCAGTCTACTATATGTGAGGTGCATTTAGACACATGGCTTTTTTGATTTCCTTTTAATTGCTATTTTCCCGAAACCCATCTGTTTTTTTAATCCAAAACTGTATTTTGCTATTTTTCATGTCCTCAATTTCCTCCTTTTTAAAACACCTTTCATTCCTCCTTTCCTCTAACTCTCCTTTCACAGCCAACCCGTCTTACGTGCCTCCTCCCCAGTGCCAGTTTGGGGAGTTTGCTTGTAAGAACAACCGCTGCATCCAGGAGCGCTGGAAGTGTGACGGAGACAATGACTGTCTGGACAACAGCGACGAAGCTCCGGAGCTGTGCCGTACGTTTCCACACACACACACACACACACACACACACACACACACACACACACACACACACACACACACACACACACACACACACACACACACACACACACACACTTACTCAGACCATATATAACATCGTTTTGGAGTGAGATGACCTTGGGCAATAGTTGTTAGATGCCAAAATGAAATGAAGGAGCAGTCTGTGAAATAGTGACTGTGTTTATATGTGCTAATTGGTGTATATGTCAGTGCATAATATGCGTGGTGTGTGTGTTTGTGCAAGGAGGAATGTAGCTATGTCTGTGGGTCTGGTAAAGCTCTCTGTCCGTCTGTCGGTCTGGTGGTTACAGTGCAGACATGTTAACGTCCCAGACAAAACAAAAGCACTTCCAAAACAGCTAGACTTTTTGCTCTCTCTTTCAACCTTTGGCACCTCACGTCCCTCCATCTTTCCATTCCCTCCTACACTTCTTCCCACATGGCTTCTCATTTTTCTCTGTTTCCTCTAACCCTTCAATGCTTTCTTTCTTCTCTGCAGACCAGCACACCTGCCCCACAGACAGATTTAAGTGCAAGAACAACCGCTGCATCCCTCTGCGCTGGCTTTGTGACGGGGACAACGACTGTGGGAACGATGAGGATGAATCCAACACCACCTGCGCTGGTACACAAACAAATATACACCCTGTACCAAAATCCGACTTTTTTGACTTTCACATGGGACATTACATCAACCTTTTTGTCTTTTAGCTCGTACCTGCCCACCAAATCAGTACTCGTGTGCCAGTGGGCGCTGCATCCCTATTTCCTGGACATGTGACCTGGACGATGACTGCGGTGATCGGTCAGATGAGCCTGCTTCCTGTGGTTGGTCTACTTCTGTGGTTTGGTCTTTAACTGTAGGTCAGTTTAATAATAAGTGTCTAAACTGTAGTTTTTTTTCACAGCCTACCCCACATGTTTCCCCCTCACCCAGTTTACCTGCAACAACGGACGCTGCATCAACGTGAACTGGCGCTGTGATAATGGTCAGTTCTTTTTTTCTCTCCTCTTTTCCTTCCATGTGAACATTTACCGTTGCAACTCCTCGCTTTCCTTCATCACGCATTTGCTGAGCATGTTTTTCCACCACCGTAAAATTGGCAAATTTTTGTCTACGTTTGCTTGTTTTTACGTTTATTGTTTCTCCAGTCTTTTGTTGTTCTGTGTTGTTGGTTTTGTTGTTCCGTGTTGTGCTGTTCGCCCACTCTGCTATCTTCCATTGGTTCTGTCTTTCAGAAAAGGATTGTGGGGACGGCTCTGATGAGTTGAATTGTCCAAACCTCACCGGTTAGTGCATAGATCAACATGCACCACCACAGCCATGATGCAAGCCTAGAAATTGGCTAAAACTGGTCAAGCTGGCCATTAGTTAGGCTGCTTGTCTGCTAATTGAACATGGCCACATGCTGAGGCCAATAATGCTGCTAGTAATTTACTGTAGGCTTCAGCACATAATATGTTTGAACCTAAGTTTAATTTTATATATTGCAGTGCAGTATTCAGTCAGCCAAATTAATTTAACTCATTTTATTTGGTGTAGATTTAAAGGAATGGCAGGTTTAATTATCAGAAATATCATAATCTTTTCACATAATAGATTATCTTTCCCTGATTACCATGGAAATAACTGCTGTTAAAAGTATGCAAGGTTATGCATCAGGTGACCCTATATTATGGTTAAAAATGCTTTGCTGCCAGCTCAATGTATCAGCATTTGGTACATTCCCTCATGGTGCATGGTCTGATCTATGCAGTTTCTGTCATTATTCAATCTCTCATATTCTATTTCATTTGTTTTCCATTGTTTTCATTGTCACTGTTTTAAATGTGAAAGAAAAAAATCTATTACTTTTTGCATATTTATATATTTTTCCCTGTGAGGCAGTGGGCGCCTCATATTGCGAGAGTTGGTGTTTGACTGTGATTGTTTTTCAGATAACGACTGCGGGGACAACAGCGACGAGGCGGGCTGTAGTCACTCCTGCTCCAGCGCTCAGTTCAAGTGTAACAGCGGCCGCTGCATCCCAGATTACTGGACCTGTGACGGAGATAATGACTGCGGGGACTACAGCGACGAGACACACGCTAACTGCACCAACCAGGGTCAGTGTTACAACCTGTTGGTCAGGGGGGACAGCTAGGAAACTCTTCACTGTTGTATTTAAGAAATACGAAATTAAGATTGTTTTGATATTTGTACAAATCAGACCACCATGCTCAAACTTAATCTCTAAGTGTTTTGATATCAAGTTGACTCATACATATTTTTGTGAGTTATCTACAAAATCACGTAACACTTATATGCATTTCTTCATTCATGTCTTTTAGCCTACATCTGCTCTCAATTGATGTTGGTTTTGACTTCCTGTGTTGGTTTCTACAGAGCCCCGAATGGGGGATGCTTTACCCTGTAATTAAGACAACAAAACCACTTAAATGTTTGTGAAATCTATTAACACCAACTGGTATGGTTTTATGCTACATTCATCCAGACTTAATCTCAGTGGTAATTATTTGTATTAAGATCATTATATTATAAATATAATCATGAGATAGACAGATGGCCTGATCGCATTTCATACCAGCTTTTACTCAAATGTATGTTAGCCCATTTCTTCATGATCCTAACCTGTTTGCATCTGATGCAACGTTGCTCTTCATTTTTATTCAAGAAAACATGCCCCCTATTCACCAAGCAGAACTTTTATAAAATAGCCAATATTAAAAAGTAAAGCTAATATCTAAAGCCACTTTTCACAAACAAATAGCCAATGGTCCCTATATTTAATAGTACTTTTGGAACACAGCTGATAGGCACTTAATCATAGTATTTACACTTTATTCAGTCGTTGAATAAATCTCTGGTGCACACTGGCCCAGTCTAAAGGGTACCACCACGGCATTAAAAAACTCTCTCACTAGCCACTTAGCGAGTGATATAATAACTGTTAAGATACTAATAAATATTAATTGTTATGCTGTTAAGATCAACATTGAAACAATAACAAAAATTATTCATCGGTAGCTAGTGTTCATGACTAAAACAATGACCCGCTTGAATCTGCTTAGTCTTTCCCGTTGCTAAGACGTGTTGCCATCCAGATATCCAACAGACAGCTCATTAGTTTTGTTTGTTTCTGCATTGTCTCTGCTCCAGGCTATGTATCCTGATTTGATTAATACAGCCAAGGGTTGAAGACAATAACATTTCAAAGCTTTATGACATCTTCCTCTCCACAGCCACGCGTCCCCCTGGAGGTTGTCATACAGATGAGTTTCAGTGTCGGATGGACGGCCTGTGCATCCCGCTGCGATGGCGCTGCGACGGGGACACCGACTGCATGGACCTGAGCGATGAGAAGAACTGTGAGGGCGTCACACACATGTGCGATCCAGCTGTCAAGTTTGGCTGTAGGGACTCTGGTAAGAAGACCATAGTTTAAATACAATTCAAGAAAAGTTTGTTACTTTTTTTTTAAGTAAGCCTGCCTTCTGCCCGTAGCACGCTGTATCAGCAAAGCCTGGGTGTGCGACGGCGACAGCGACTGTGAGGACAACTCCGACGAGGACAACTGTGAGGCGCTGGTGTGTAAGCTCTCTCACCATGTGTGTGCCAATGACTCCACCATCTGCCTGCCTGCAGAGAAACTTTGCGATGGCACTGATGACTGCCCAGATGGCTCCGATGAGAAACTCTGCGGTAAGAGACAACAGGAACCAGGCTGCGTTTCATTACAGGGAATGCCATAACAGCAAGTCAAACTTCTGCATCTTAAATTATGTATTAAGAGGTTTAATAACAGTTCTATCTTTTGTCTCACAGACCTGTGTTCACTGGACAATGGTGACTGCAGCCATAACTGCACAGTGGCCCCTGGCGAGGGGGTGATCTGTTCCTGTCCCCTGGGCATGGAGTTGGGGGTCGACAACAAGACCTGTCAAATCCAGAGCTTCTGCGCCAAACACCTTAAGTGCAGTCAACGCTGCGAACAGGACAAGTTCAGTGTGAAATGTTCTTGTTACGAAGGCTGGGAACTGGAGCCTGACATGGAGAACTGCAAGAGCACGGGTAAGAGACAGAGGAAAAAGGGGGAGATGGAGGGAAGGGTCAGGGGAAGGCAAGAGACATCAGTGAAGCATTTTTTAACATCTGATTGATGGTAGAGGTACAGTAGAAGGGGAAGCTAGAGAAGTGACTGCGCTCTGGGCTTTGTCAGGCTTTAAGAGTTCAGAATCAGGAAGTGTGGTTAGGGTTTGGAATAAAGCAAAGGAGAGGCTGCCTAAGCAGGAAGCTGTGGCTAGAGAAATCTCTCTATGCCGAAATGTGATACTCATTCGGACAATAGACAGAACACTGGAGACGGAAAAGGAGAAGTATTACATTGCTGTTCTCAGGAGTCTATCACTAAAAAACATAAAAAAGACCTCGGCATTGGATTTTAGCTGTCATTATTATTTAATGAAAAAAACGAATATAAAATTGTAAAAAATGAAGTGAACAGATACTTATTTTGCAGGGCAAGACGTGCTCAGTCACAGTTAATCAGCTTTGAATTTTATCATCCACATACAAAATATGTTTCCTCCCTGCAGCAACTAGCCAATGAGGAATTATGAATTTGTGATTGTCCAGGTCTTAGAGACTAGCCCCCAGCACCGTGTCATTCATCTGGCTGCCTGTTAGGTGCAGATAACCCCTGTCTTATTTACACTGCGTTTTAATTACCCAGGATTAGAGCCACTTTAAACACAGCCCCTCTGTCATTGGACACACACCGCAGTGGAACATGGCTGCAATGTTTTCCATGCTGTGAAGCAGAACCGAATTATGAGTAACAATCAAAGATAACCAAGCAGAAGTGTTTAACCCTTTAACAGCTGCTTAGTTCTTCTTTTAAAGACACCCAACAATGTTTTTCTGTCAATCTTCACAGATCCTTTCAAACCCTTTATCATTTTCTCAAACCGCCATGAGATCCGCCGCATTGATTTGAATAAAGGAGAGTTCAGTGTGTTGGTACCGGGCCTGAGGAACACCATTGCCCTGGACTTCCATATCAGTGAGAGCGCCCTCTATTGGACGGATGTGGTGGAGGACAAGATCTATCGCGGGAAGCTGTCCGAGAATGGAGGTGAGAATTAGTGATGGCGAGATGAAGCCTTATGAAGCTTTGAAGCTTTCCAGCCAATTGGTTCGCAAAAGGGTTCATCTCATGAGGCTTCATCATGGGCTTCATTTGAACACAAACCCCCCTGTTGGTCAAAGTGTGTAAAACAGGCAGGTTGGACATCTCAACAGTGTGCTCTATCTCATACCGAGTTCCCAATGAGTAAAGCCTTAGAAATAACTCCAAACAACGAACATAAAATCATATTTTCATGGTAACAATATTGTATTTATTCCAGTTTAATGATTGTGATTGAAAAGCCTAAGGAGGCTGGTAAACATTGCAAAGAGGGATTTGTATTCCTTAATAATATTCATAAACTTAACCATGTTGTATCCTGAGAAAGGCTAAAACATATCAAAGAATACATGTATTAACTACATTATCTCATTTAGCTGTAGCTTTTATAAACAACAAAAAATACGTATTGTTCAGTCGTTGAACCAGGGACCCTGCGGTCATGAGTCAACTGCTTTCCAGCTGAGCCACAGCACACACACTGAATCTCCCTGAAAACACTGCAAGATATGTATTCCTGTATTTATTGATGTTTTTATTCATACATTTATTTATGCTTGTATCTATTTATTATGACATGTTCCGACCTCTATAAGTGAGGGTCTGAGCTCTCTTGATTCCATCCTGTCCCCGGGCCCGCCGGGTACAGGAGGGGTAATATGGTTCTTCTTATTATACATCCATGGGTATTATGAGCGTTGTGGTTCAACGGTTCAACCGATCTGAATCGCTTCGTGAAGCAGTCACGTGGTATCGACAGGCAGCGAGGCTTCGTTTGTCATCGATGACGTCACTGGCCCAAAACGATACAAGCCTCGATACATGCTTCACAGAAAGCTTCGGGGATTACTCGACACACGCTCCGAAGCCTCGGCGCAATACGTAACATCACTAGTGAGAATGTTTAACACAATCAATGTGGTTTAAAAGAGTTATGGTATCATCTACTGTAGGATTGAATATACAGTCTTTACAGATTATGGATGTTTCGTAAAGTTATGGTCCACCTATCGATTTCTTCCAGAACTTTCCCACACGTTCTTTATCAGCGGATAGGGTTAATCTACATTTATGCATATATGGGAATTTTCATTACATTTGAGCAGTGTTGTGCTAGTTACTGAAAACCAGTAACTAGTTACCATTACTAGTTACTTCATGTCAAAAGTAACTCAGTTACTTTACTAGTTACTTACACCCAAAAGTAATGCGTTACTGTGAAAAGTAACGTTTTGGTTAGTTGAAAAAAGGGCTCCCATTAATGCCCTTATAGCCTTCCTTTCAGTACTGTTATTGCATTGGAGAATAATACAATCTGTTGATCAACTTGACATGCATTATATGCAATCTGGATTGCATCGATATTAGCTGGCTTTCCATTTTTGTATATTCTTTCTCCAGGTAGTTGGAAAAAGTTTTCCGTCCCATATGCCGTGTGCCGCCCGGACATGCTATCATGCTAACTAGCTCCCTGAAAGCGGGTGACTCCACTGTAGCAATAGCCTGCATGTGTTCTACAACATACCGTGCAATGGCTTTATTCACTTTTCCCTGGCCAGCAGTCCCTTGGTTAAAATCCAGCCGCTGTTGCTTAGGTGGAGGTGGAGTGGCGTCGGCTGAGTCTCTGTGGTCTTAGCTACTAGCTTCGTCCCAGCATGTTGTTTTTGCATTTGTTTTAAGAGATTTGAATTACTGGTTTGGGCAGTAGATAGGATCTTTGACCCGCCAAGACACAACTTACATTTAACTAAAACGTTCTTTTCTTTGTGCTCGACAAAAGTGAAATAGTGAGAATATCTCCAGGTGGAGAAACTAGACTCCGCCGCCGCCATGATAGTCTTGTTAGTAAACAACACAAACACGCCCACAGCCCGTCTCCGCATGTGACACAGGAAGTATCAAAGTACATTTACTCAAGTACTGTACTTAAGTACAGTTATCATCTCTGTTCGCCTGGCTGTTGACTATATAAAAAAACTAACGCAGTAACGCACCATGTAGTAACGGTAACTGAGTTACTGAATTTAAAAAGTAATGCGTTAGAGTACTAGTTACTGCGTTAGTCCCAACACTGCATTTGAGTAAGAAAGCGCCGTCAGATAAAGTAAAGACAGACTTTGGATTATTAAGTGTCAAGAACAATTTTATTACAATGGGTTTTATTAAAGTCATAGCATTTTAATCGTTATATGGTATTGCACACTGGGGAAATATATTGTAGTTATGTTAAAGGGGACCTATCATGCCAAATGCACCTTTGTACGTCTTTTATACATGAATATGTGTCCCGGTGTGTCAGGGAACTCACCAAGTGTCAGAAAACACAACTCTCTCTCTTTTCCTCCATACCCAAAATATCTAAAAACAGGGCTTTAACGGATCTGATACAGACTGATACAGATTTGAAAATAGTCTGATGTCAGTGACGAGGAGCTCCGCCTATATGGCCAACTCTCCACCAATCAGGGGAATGAGAGGTTGCCGTGGCATGGTAACAGCATGGTAACAGCATGGTAACATGACGCCTGTAACTCGGGCCCCTCCTTTGCAGGGGGGCGTGGTCAGCTGCAGCGCATGCAAAGACAGGGGTGGAGGAGAGCAAAATAGAGCGAAATGAGGCATGGCTAAAATGCATGATCTGTTTGGTATTTTGAAAAAAAAAAACGTATAAATATATCTTATATAGGTATGGCCCTACAATATATTATTCAAATATAGCATGATAGGTCTCCTTTAAGGTCAAAACGTTATACTTATTTGACATGTCAGTGATAGCTATTAAAATGTTTGTGGCACTGCCTAGCGAGCATGTTCACTTTTGGTGCGAAGCAGAAATCAGGTGTCTTTTTAGAAAGGCCAGACAAGTCGATCATGATCACTGTGGATAACATCTTATAATCACCTCAGCAGTAGTAATAATATGAATACAATCATGTGTACAAGTCTACAGTTCGGTTTTGTTGATATATGAATTTGTCTGTGCACATGGCTGTTGCTTGCAAGGTTTACTAAGCGCAAACAATGGGCTACATTCAGTGAGCGTGTGTTTTCATTGCTACAGTACACACAGGATAATGACTCATCAAATAATTAGATGTCCCTCTGATTAGAGCCCAGTGAAGAATGAAAGGGATAGAAAGAGGTTGTGTCTCTTTAGCCCTGCAAGACACCACATATGTACACCCCCTGCTGAGCCACTACTGTAAACATATGTGTTTTCATTGAATCCTTCTGACATGTGTTTTCTCATGAACAAAGCATCCAAGCATTTCATTAAAGGAATTACAGATTGTGATGCAATGTTAGCTTTGAATCCAAATAGCTAGATTACATTTACATAATTAGTAAATACTGAAGCGAAGCAGATCAGCGCTTCGGGTTACAGCACAATCTGAAATGTTTCCATCAGCAAATCCAAGCCTTCGGAGCCTTTATCGGTCTATATTGAAATACTGTGTGAATTAATTAGGAACTCAAACGCCCGGAGAAATATTTATTTTAATCAGTAGTACAATGGACACGGTTACATCAGATTTCTCTACAAATATGGATTATATGAGAAGACACTGCTTGTTCTTTCTTTTCCACCATGTTAGATAGTAAGGGCTATACATTGAAAAACAAACAAAGGTTAGGACTTTTGTTGAAATGTTCAGGGTTAAAGACGCAATCAAGCATATATTTCCACTGTATAAAAAGGGAAGGGGGTGATAACACATCTTCAAGTCAACTAACTCTAAGAGAACAATTGATCATTTGTATCTCTCCTTGCAGCTTTAACCAGCTTTGATGTGGTGATTCAGTATGGCCTGGCTACCCCTGAGGGCTTGGCAGTGGACTGGATAGCAGGAAACATTTACTGGGTGGAAAGCAACCTGGATCAGATTGAGGTGGCCAAGTTGGACGGCACCATGAGGACCACGCTGCTGGCCGGGGAGGTGGAGCACCCTCGAGCCATCGCCCTGGATCCCCGGGACGGGTACAATTACTGTACCTTCTGCCAATATCAAAGAATGCACATATACAATACAAGCTAATAGTAATGACTTTTGGTAGCTGGGAGCTGTTTAGCAGTCATACCCAGGATTTAATTGAAAAGTTGTGCTATATACAGATCTGATTCCTGAACATACTGTAGGTTAATGATTCAATAACTGCATGAACATGTTGCGGCATGCATGACATTTGCAGGATCCTGTTCTGGACAGACTGGGATGCCAGCTTGCCCAGGATTGAAGCTGCATCCATGAGTGGAGAAGGGAGGAAGACCATCCATAAGGAAACTGGCAATGGAGGCTGGCCAAATGGGCTCACTGTAGATTATCTAGAGCGCCGCATCTTCTGGATTGATGCCAGGTCATTAAAAAAAGCCCAGACATGAACACAATCACATTCAGAAAACACCTTTACTTGCACATGCTGTATCTTTCAGTCGCACACAGGCATTAATTGCAATGTGTGCTATACACAGGTCTGATGCCATTTATTCAGCCAAGTATGATGGTTCCGGGCTGATCGAGGTTCTGAGGGGACATGAGTATCTGTCACATCCCTTCGCCGTCACTATGTATGGAGGGGAGGTTTACTGGACAGACTGGAGGACAAACACACTGGCAAAGGCAAACAAGTGGACAGGAGGCAACGTCACTGTGGTCCAGAGAACCAACACACAACCTTTTGACCTTCAGGTCTACCATCCATCCAGACAGCCGCAGGGTGAGAAACACACACATAAGCCTGCACATACTGTAGAAATACAGCTTGAAATAAAGATAATATCACATATTATTATGGAAACAACTGATATATAACTACCAAATTCCTAATGAGAGTTACAACTCAATATTGTACTTGCTGATTTATGAGATGTTCTAAGTATAGTGAGTTGGTTTTTTTAATAATATAATAATACATTTTTTATTTATTTTTTATTTTATTATAACAGTATTGTAGGAAAATAAGAGAAACACAAAAACGTACCAAAAAAAAGTTAGTTCCCACTTGACAGTTAACAGAAAGAAACAAAACAAAAAAACAACAACACCAAAACATCACATGTGCAAGGAAATGTGCAACACCCTCATCTGAGTCCTACTGGAGTCATGGGGGAAAGTGGCGCATGATAAAAATAAAATAAGAAGAAGGACAGACATCACAAATATTTACCAATGCAGTACCAGAGTACATAAACTTATTCACATTCCGCTTCAAATAGTCCTATTTTTCTTAATTTATACAAGTTCTTTAACTGAAAAATACCTACACAATTCTAGATCATTCTGTTGAGAATACCACAGTTTTACCCCAACCACCGAAATACACATTTGCTTTAAAGTAGTCCTTGCAACTTCTCTCCAGCTCCTAACCCATGTGCGGCTAAAGATGGCAAGGATCCCTGCTCTCATCTATGTCTCATCAACTACAACCAGACATTCTCGTGTGCCTGCCCTCACCTCATGAAGCTGGGCCCTGACAGACGCACTTGCTATGGTAAGTGTGAACACGCATACAAAAATGCAGTTACTGTAGAAAACATACTCTTTGATTCCCCTTTGAGCTAGCAGACAATGTACCCCTCTGCTTGTCTTGAGAGAGAGAGAGAGAGAGAGAGAGAGAGAGAGAG